AAAGAGAGAGAGACAGATGGAGAGAAACATCTTCTGTCCACTGGTTCACTCCCCAAATGGCCACAAACTACTGGAGAAGGGTCCATCCGAAGCCAGGGGCTTCGTCCGGGTCTCCTACACAGGTGCAGGGGCCCAAGGACTTGGGCCATCTTCCACTGCTTTCCCAGGCCATAGCAGAGAGCTGGATCAGAAGAGGAGCAGCCAGGACAGGAACCAACTCCAATATGGGATGCCAGCACTTTAGGCAGAGGCTTAGCCTACCATGCCACAGCACCAGCCCCCAACTGGTAACTTAACTGCTAAGCCAAAAGGCCCATCTCTGGCAGTTTTTTTAAAAAACCTTTCTTATGTTGTTGCATTTCCATTATTTTCTCCTGGTTTTGTAGCTCTGTTTTTCATCCCTCTGTTTTCCTTAATGCTGTTGGTATTTCTTTGGTGGTCTTTGCTTATCAATGAACGAATGTGGGTTTCCTTGGCTGCCATGTGTTTGGATTTGCTTCCCTGAGTTGCCTGGGTCCTGCTTTGAAGACTCTGGAGGGTTTGTTAATCTGCAGGGTTTGTGTCCAGGGGGGTGAGTAGGAGGCTGCAAAGCCAGAGCTCTCAGGAGCTGCCTGTGCTCTCCCTAGGCGGCTTGCCCAGCGTCTTCAGGTGTGTGTGCTGGCTTTAGCCCAGACAGTGAACACAGGGCTGCCTTTCATATGACATGCATGTGTATGCACATATATATAATTCAAAAAGCTTGGGGATAGTGGAATTAAAGGATAGCTTTATTTTGATGAAAAAAGTTAAAAATCTATGCATACTTAGGGACTTTGAATGTGTATTTTGAATAAAACATGCATGGATTTCAAAATTGTGTGCACCAAAATAACTCACCTTTGATTTCATTGCTCCATGAACTTTTTGTTGAAAGAAAGATTTATTTATTTATATATTTATTTGAAGGGCAGAGTTACAGACAGAGAGAGGGAGAGACAGAGAGAGAGCTTCCATTCACTGGTTCACTCCCCAGTGGCCACAACGGCCAGAACTGGGCCCATCCAAAGCCAGGAGCCTCTTCCTGGTTCCCCCATGTGGGTACTGGGTCCCAAGCACTTGGACCCTCCTCCACTGCTTTCCCAGGCACATCACCCGGGAGCTGGATCAGGAGTGGAGCAGCCAGGACATGAACCAGTGCCCACATGGGATGCCAGCCATGCAGGTGGCAGCTCTACCAGGTACACCACAGTGCAGGTCCTTCCATGAACCCTCTGACATACCCTGGGATTAATTCATTCCATCCTAACAGGAAAAGCAAAGCATTGTCATTGTCCCCGCTTCACAGATGAGGAAACAGGCACAGAGAAGTTAAGTCACTTTTCCCAAGGTTGCACAACACTTGGGTGAAAAAGCCAAAATTCAGATTTCACACAGAGAAGTTAAGTCACTTTTCCCAAGGTTGCACAACACTTGGGTGAAAAAGCCAAGATTCAGATTTCATCTTTGGAAGCTGAGATAGTAACCTTTATGCCCTATGATTGTCAGAGAAGAAACCGTGAGGATATAATAAAGGCAGAGTATCCAACAACTAGCTGATGGGATATTTTATTTAATAACATTTCAAGAAAAGACTCCAAAAAAAAGTGGATATAGTTCTATGGGTATGGAGGGGACTGAATTATGAAATTCTGAGTGTGCAATTAAAAATACTCTCAATGAAAGAAATGGGAAGGCAGGTATTTGTGCTCAGCCTGCCTGATAAGGCTGAAGGATGTCTGCGTAACCTATGAATGAGAAGTCCCATCACTAAGGATGGTCTAAGGAATATGACAAGAATTTCAAGAGACTTGAGGCTGATGATGAGCTGAGGCTCACAAAACCACCAAAGACAGTGGCAGCAATTTTTATAGCTATTTTCAGAACAATAGATAGATGAAAATTATAGGCCCATTGCTTGCAAATGATGTTTCATTTCAAAGAAAAGACTGCACTTCTGCTTTGCTTCTGTCTATACCAAGAATTATGATCATTAAACTGGCAATTTTATAAGATCAGTGCATTAAGATGTCATTGACATCCGTAAGAGAAGGTTTGCATTAACTTAAACATTTTAGATGACTTCAGATCTCCAGATAAATTAACTTTCTTTTTAGACAATGAACAATCTCATTGTGATAACTATAGAACTGTCATAGTCTTTTGAGAAAGTTTACAAAACAGGGAGAATGCCAAAGAATGGAGAAAGATACATATGACGGCAGTTTCAAAAGGAGGGAAGTGGTGGGTTGGGTTGAGTGTGAAGGATGCTTGCTCCCTTTTTCTGCAGGTGCCTTTCAAAGGGGCCCCTTTGGGCAGGAAGCTTGTGCTTCTTTCCCTGACAGTCAGGCTTGATCACGTGGCTTGCTGTGGCCCACGGAAGGTGGGGAGTGAATTCCAAGCAGAGGCCAACTGCTGAGCTGTATCTTGAAGCCCCATTGTGTTTCCTGGCGTCCCCTCCCTCTGTCACAAGACCAGCCGTGCGTGTGTTCCACCTGGCGCTGCTCCTTCATCCTGCATTTTGGAATAGGCATGACATGAGTCAGGGCTGCTGCCAGTGCACCGTGGACACAAACAGTGATGAGAAATACATGCTTATCCTGAGCCGCTGGGACTTCACGGTTCTTCATTCCCACTGTAGCTTCTTGCCTATTCTGACTCTTCTAGAAGGTAAATAGTGAGAGCCTGAAAATACTAACCAGTCACCATAATGCTGATTTCCGGTAAAAAACAAAAGTACTGGTTTTTAATCGGAAAGTTGAGAGTTTCTAGAAAAAGAAAAAAAAATTGTCAATACAATTGAAGTAAGCATATGTCAAATTACTCTTACTCCTTGTTTTTTCTTTTGTCTTTGCTTTGGGTAGCATTCTTAGAAGTCTATGAAATGTGGGCCAGCGCCGTGGCTCACTAGGCTAATCCTCCGCCTTGCGGCGCCGGCACACTGGGTTCTAGTCCCGGTCGGGGCGCTGGATTCTGTCCCGGTTGCCCCTCTTCCAGGCCAGCTCTCTGCTGTGGCCAGGGAATGCAGTGGAGGATGGCCCAAGTGCTTGGGCCCTGCACCCCATGGGAGACCAGGTGGAAGCACCTGGCTCCTGCCATCGGATCAGCGCGGTGTGCCGGACGCAACACGCTGGCCGCAGCAGCCATTGGAGGGTGAACCAACGGCAAAAGGAAGACCTTTCTCTCTGTCTCTCTCTCTCACTGTCCACTCTGCCTGTCAAAAAAAAAAAGTCTATGGAATGTTACAGATACAGTGAAGTATGTGTGAAACCATGCATTTGGAAAAATGTTTCATATTATCTTTAAAAGTAAATTGCTAAGTGTTGACTATGGTGTCATTCTGTTCTTACTGCGACCACGTGTATCGTGTCCCGGTGGAAAATGTGAAGAAATATGATAGGGTCCAGAGGGAAGGCACTGAATTCACAGCTGCATGAATAAGAGACTTGGAGGAAAACTTCAAAGAAGCATCCTCGTGTCTTAACCGGTTCCAAAATATGTTATCAATTATTTGAGTGACAGCCTAGATGTTGTATTTACCAAGTTTACATAACATGTGACCCATCACAGAAGAGACTGTCTGCAAAAGAGATTCAGTATGTTGGATGGAAAAATTAGCATTCACAATGACAGGATCTGTTGAAAAGATACTGAAGCCAATGTGATCAAGTTTATGACTTGAGTTTGCATTCTTGAGTCCACATATAACTTGAAGTTCCATTTTTAAATATCAGTGGGATCATTTGAAGGAGGCCTGCTTGTTAGAATTCAGGTGAAGCCAAAGAGTTTGATAGTGTGATGGTTCTTCTATTAAAATGAAGGTAGTTTTAATATTTTATGTTCTTTTGTATATATTTATATTATTTTTGGATTTTATATTGATAGATGTTTGTGTGCAAATGAAAAGATTATTCTGCATCAGTATCATGTCCAATTCTGGGCACTACCCTCTAACAGATATATCAATAAGATCTGAGAGTATTAAGATTAGGATGTTGGGCTAATTATTTATTCTGGGAGGAATGAGCAAAAGTGGAGTGGAGTAGGCGGAGCAGGTGGTCTGGTAAGAGGAAAGTGAAAGAAGGGTAAAAGATAACACACTTATGCCTAAGGCAGGGTGCATGCAAAACACTTAACAAATCGATTGCCCTCCTAGCTGCCTTAATACACCTGCCCAGACTCCGGCTCTCCTAACCAGCTCTGTTCTCTGGCGATAATGAGGTACAAATGTATATAAATGACACATCATAAATGCATACCATGAAAGTGCTTTCTAATCCTGAATGGTAATTAGAATCATTTCAAGAGCCTTAAAAAATGCAGGTACTGATATTAACCTCATACCTACTAAAGCCTGATTTCGGGTGCTAGATTCTGAGATTATATATTGTCATAAAACTTAGTCGATTGCCACAATCTTGTGATTCTAATGATTTGCAAGCCATGGTATCTTGTGATGTGGTGGGTGTTTGAGAGACTAGGATTGTATCAGAGGACATTCATGTATTAGCGAGGAAAGCAAATCCAGAAAGGTGGTCCCTAGATCTGGTCCTCAAGGACACATTTAAGATTCTAAAAGAAATCCAAGTTTATCAACACCAGGGCCATGGTTTCGATGTGGTTTGTCTCCTAAAGGCTTGTGTGTTGGATGCCTGGAACCCAGTATTAAGAGGGGAATGTGTAAGAGGCGGGTCCGAGTGGGAGGCCTTGAGGACATTGGTGGTGTGGCCTCAGAGGGCTTAACCTGGTTCTCCTGGGGTCTCAGTCACTCTGGCTTCCTGTCCCACCGCATGACCTCATCCTCTCACATGGGCTCCCTCTGGGATGCCCTTCCTCAGTCACCGTCACCAGAGGCAGAATCAGAGGGGACTGCCTAGTCTTGACCTCAAGCCTTCCAAGCTGTGAGCTGAACAAAGCTCTTTTCTTTCTGAGTTCCCCATCCTCGGCATTTCATTATAGTGACAAAAAACAGACCAATACGGGGAGATTGCTCCTTTTTTATTTTAACAAGCAAACAAATACACCAGGAAAAGTATTATTTTATAGTTTCACTTGTTAAAAAAATGCTGTTTTAAAAAGGAACTGGGCAGGAAATAATAGAGGAACTAAATCTTTTAGATTAAAGAAACTCAGCTAGGTTGTTCCTGTTTATTTGTCTTATTTCACCATGCACTGATGACAATGTCTTCACACTGCAGGGTCAGGTGGCAGGTGCATTTGAGAGCAGCCAGGACAAGGGATATTCCACTGATACAGTCTTGGGCATATATTGCTCCATGTTCTGCAGGGCCCAGGGGCTCACAAGGAGCTCTCATTCCAGCAGTAGTAGTGGGGAAAGCTCTGAGGAGTGCATGGGTGTGGTCAGGGTACCCTGAAACCTCAGACACTAAACATCTGTGAGCCATTGTTTGTGGAAACCTGCTGTTTAGTTGCAGAAGAGTCTTAGGAACCTGCAGGCCATATTAAAATATATGAAGGACTTTCATATATAATGATCCTCGTTATGCCAGAGGGCAGAGCCAGAGCTATTTGAGGAAGTTGCTGGCAGAGCATGGCACGTTAGTAAAGCCTTCAACAATCAGACTTTGCCAAAAACGAAGATCAACAAGCTTTGGAGTCTCTAGAAGGCCTCAGAGCACATCTGAGCAATAATTTGTTAGGAATGTGGATAAAGGGGTGGGGGAATGAGCTGGAAGCTGGACTGAAACCACTATTTTCTAACCCAGAAAGGCCTCAGTAACACGTGAGAAGCCTTTTAAACAAATACAGACTTCTGGACCTCCACTTGGATCTGTAGGAACAGAATCTCCACCAACAGGGCTCAGGAATCTGCTTGTTGAATGGGTTCCCGGGAAATTCTTAGTGAAGTTGTCTGGAGCCTTGGAAAAGAGTAGATGAAGTGAACTCCAATGCCTGAAGCATCTGTGATGACAGATGCCACAAAGCTTATAAAGAACTTGCATTCTGTTATGGCATCCATACTTGAAAATCTACTACATATAACATATTTCATTACTGGCTATTTTAAAGTTATGCTTGACACAGCCGGTTATCTGAACATGAATGCAGTGAAAGCATCCAACTGTTTGTAAAGCAAGGTTGATTTTCAGCTTGAAAGAAGAATTAGCCTCACACGATGCAAAGGAATTGTGGACCCAATTAGGAAATACAGACATGTAAAATTGCCAAACAGATAGCATGTTGGTGCCAAACATTTTTCCATACAAGATTAGTCATTCTTTTCTATCTCAAATCACATATTGGTTTAATATGGTACTAAATATATATTTATTCCTGTGGAAGAGGCCTTTTATTGGGTCTGTCATTGTTGTGAAAGGCATTTCTACTTTCACGAATGTTATAGCCTGAGAGACTGTCCCAGTGATGGGATAATTAGGGCAGAATGGCGGAGTGGCCTCATGGTGCTTCTCCGGGTTCTTAGAGTCTGCAGCTCTGATGTGGGGCTCCAGTTTCTCTCCTAAGTGCTCTGTGCAGGTGATCTGCAAGGCCTTGCATTGCTGTTAGAAGTCCAGAACCTGAATTATAGGCCAAGGAAGCTAGACTGAAGCCATCGATCCATTAAATATGTACTTGAAGATCACCGCTTGAAATGTTTTAAATTTCTAACTCCAGGAAAAACTTTTTTCATGGTGTCCTTTGAGCCATCCGATCCTTTAGAAACGTTTGCTCACGAAGACATTTTTCTTGTCATCTTTTTGCCTCTGAGTTCTGTTTGCTGATTTTTCATTTGCACATTCAGTAGATACCTAGTGGGAGACGGCTTTGGGCCTTGCAAAATGGCACAGCTTTGCATACCAGTTAAACAAGGTCCCTGATTTCTGGAAGCTATTTTCTAGTAGAGAGAAAGAAATGATGAGCTTGTAGATAAATACATAAGATTTCAGCGAGGGACAAGGGCTTTAGCGAAGATTTAAATGAGTCAGAGAAGTTGGTGGGGGGCGGGAGAGGACAGTGTCTTTCTGGCGAGATAACTTAAAGAGGCAGTGACCTACAGCCGAGACGTGAACGCTGTAAGCAGTTGTGAGGATGGGGGAGCTGCAAATGCTCTGAGACAGCTCCGCTGGGGAACTGAAAAGCCAGCGTGGCACGGTTCTCATGCAGTGTTGAGATGCAGGATGCAGTAAAAAGTGAGGCAAGGACCACACAGAGCTAGCCAGGGTGTGGATTTGACCTTATTCTAAGTTTGGTATGTTCTAATCAGGGGGTGACCTACCTTCGTATTTTAGAAAAATAATGGAAGCTTCGTGTGGAGCCCAGTCAAGTGACAGTGGAATGCGGAGGGCTAGCTGGGAGATTTGATTGCATTAGTTAAGCATGGGTGTCGCTGCTCCTTGATAGAGGAATGCTGTTATGATTGTGTGATGATCACATACATGCAAGACACTGCCGATTGAGGTCACGTGCATGTGACACAATGTGGTTCCTGAGTTTGTGCCTTCCAGCCGTGATTGTTAGTTTCATTTCTCTCTGCTCTGAGCCTGTCACCTCCCTCAGCTGCCTATCACAGGGTTGGGTGAAGGGTCAGCATGCTTGGTCATTAGCAGCCCAAGGTCATCTTTCCCAGTTAAAATCCAGAGGGCACCCCTCAGCTGTTTCTGCCTGAGTCCTTGTTCCCAGGTTCTACTTCTTCACAGAGCTCAGACTCCCAGCTTCTCCCCCAAACCCCGGACCTTGGTTTTTATGCTGTTTTTTTCAAGGGGTTGGTTTGTATGCATAGAGGCACAGAGAAATGAAGGCAGACTTCAACAATGTAGAAAATGTCCCAACCTATCTCACCCAGGAAGGGAAAGTGAGCACGTTGCCTTTTTTTCCTGTTAAATCTCAAGGACAACTGGGAGGTTGGGAAACGTTTTCCACGTTGTGTCATTAAAGGGAGGTCATGTGTTAATGCGGCTGATGTGAATATGACGAGCCTGAAATTCACCGAACCGTTGCAATGTGCCAAGCACCTGCCTTCAAAAGGAAGTGCGTCCACTTCTCAGATGAGGAAACTGAGGCACAGAGACGATAAGTCACGGCTCTAGTTCCCCCAGCCTAGAAGCCACACTGCCTCCCCTGGTAAGAAGACTCAGCCATCCAGAGAAGAGGAGGCCTTCTCACCTGGCAGCTACCTGCCTCCCTGCCTGCTGGCACAGGTGTTCAATTTTGCCCCTGGGCCTGTTTTGTGTTCCACTTGGCTTCAATCTAGTCCCCGTCTGGGCCTTTATTAATGAATATCTTGATAAGTAAGTGGTGGCCAAAACAAAAGAAATACTCTTCGCTCCTCACCCCTTTGTCACGTGGATGGTCCAGTAAGCGTTTGCTTTAACAGCTACCACCTGTGTCTCTGAGGGTCTCACCTGCTCTCTGATGGGGACACCAGAGGACAGAGCTCCCTAAGCTGGGACCCAACCCCTTGGACACCAAGCACACTCATCCATCTGCTGGTCTTGTCACAGGTGCACCCTTGACCGCAGTGGGCGCCAGGCGACCGCGCGTCTGGCTACTGAATTGTCCTTGTATGTTTTTCTCTAAGTGCGTCTAAAATGATAGCCTTGAGCTTTCCTTTTTCATACACACACTCATCATTATGAAGCCTGGTAATGATCCCTGAAGGAAAAACCACATGGAGCAGAAGGGCTCAAGACGTGGAGTGAGGGTGTTGGACAACAAGACCTGCTTCCCAGAGCAGCCCTCTGCAGGGGTCAGTGAACTGTGTTTTTTATGACTTGAAGCTGTTTTTCCAGATACCATACCAGTGTTTCCCCAGTGCGCATCTGTGTGCCAAAATGTCCATTTCCTGCGTCCAGGTCCTTCTTGAGTGCAAAATCGCAAGTTTTGAGCATCACATTGGGTTGAGCAGATGACTTAAACACAAAAGAGGTGGATGCTTAAAATGCTTAGAGGATCGGAAACCCCCATGAGCCAAAGGGCCTGGTTTTCTGTCATTTCTTTGACCAAAACCTTTGGACATGTTATTCTCATGGGTTATGTGACTGTAGTGTGGTTAGCTTGGTTATTGTCCCTTGGGTGTAATCATGGAGTATGAGGAAGAAGTTTCCTTTCAATTTGAGGCTTAACTATGCGTCTCTCTTGTAAGATAGAAGATGGATATACCTCAACATTTTATATTTGGGACAGAAAGATTTTAGGGTTTGATTTTAAAGGTAAAGAACAGAGAGGGGGAAGAAAGGAAAATTCTGGACACATAGGCTTCCCAAAAAAGGGTGGGAAACCTCACTTTTTTTCTTCCAGAAAAATCTATCCTTAAGAGACAATTAAGTACTCATTCATGCTGAATTGAAAATGACTGAAAACAGTCTGAGATATTTCTCGCAGAAAAAATAGTTTTCGAGCAGATCTTTAGGTGGAAGAAATGAAACTTCAGCTTTCTGATTTATCTATGTATTCATGTGTCTGTTTCTATTTAAGATCTGTACTGTGTTCCAAAAACAGAAGATTTAAGGCCACACGGGCAATAAGAAAATCAATTTGAAAGGAAGTAATTGAGAACATTAAGATGACTTTCAATATTGGGAATTCGAGTTTTCAGATAAAAGGGGAAAGGACTCTATTTTGTAACGGTTGTTAGAAAATTCTTACCTTCAAATCTTAGTGGTTTGGTACAGTAGTTCACATACCTGCATTGCCTATTGGAGTGCCTGGGTTCAAGGTTCAATTCTGCATCTGATTTCAACTTCCTGTTAGTGCACGCACAGCAGGTGGTGGCTCAAGTCCTTGGGTTCCTGCCACCCACAAGGGAGACCTGGATTGAGTTCTCTGCTCCTGGCTTTGGCCTTGCTCAGTCCCGGCTGTTGTGGGTATTTGGGAAGTGAACCTGCAGTCTATCTAGTCTAGTGTCTCTGACTCTTTACCTTTAAAATAAATAAAAAGAAATAAATAGATCTGGAAATATTTTAGAAAAAGGAAATCTTCCAGAAAGAGTATGAGTGGGGTCCCCAGTCCACTTATAGCAGACTGCTTTTAGATTAATTGACTTTGTATAATTTATAGAATTGACATTATATAATGTTCTGGTGAAAAACGTTCATGTTTTTGTCTCTTTGCTTTTGTGGGGTTTTTAGACCATTTACCAAGAAGGAGTTCGTGCTTCAGTGCCTTCTCTTTGGTTATTTATTAACCTCCCTTTACAGTACAGGTTAGTTTTCTAAGAAAGTGCAAAGTTCAATTAATGTTGTTTCTAATTACCCTTATCCATAAGGCTTCAATGTAACCCAAAATGCCTCCTAAAAACATGACGTTTGTATATGAAACAATGGGCCTTGGGTGCACCAGCATCACACGAGGTACTCCTGCAGGGACAGGGCTGTGCTGCCCGTGTTAATAGGATGATCACACCATGCCTGTGTCTGTGTAGTCTCCACGATTCTCTCCTACCTGCCACGGCCTCCTTCTCGTACGATTTCCCCTATAAGCCTGGAAGTCAGAGGAGAGCCAATTCTCCCCCAGGAAAAGCAAGGAAGAAGAAAACACTACTTCTCCATCCTCTGCAGATGGGATGGCTCTTCAAACAGTTCACAGTGATAGAATTAAAAGACAAATTATTGTGTGTAAAGAAATTGAACCCATGAGTATGAAGGGGGGGTCTTCAAAAAAGTTCATGAAAATTAGCCATCATGAAAAAATCATGCTTAGACTTAAAAAATACTTTGTCCCCTAATACACTTACCTTTCAGTTCCATTTCCACAAATTCTTTGACACACCTGTGGGTGTATCTTTCGCAGCTTATCAAGGATAATGATTGCTCAGGATCCAGAATTGAAACTGAACACAAGGTGAAGTTCAGGGTTTCTTTCTCTATGTGGAGTAGTAGAAAAAGGAACCCCAGAAGACTTGAGAAAGTTCTAGATGGTATGTTTACCAACCAGAAAGAAATGGTGGGGCCCTGCCTTTCCATCTCGGGACCTAGAACAGGGCGTGGAACATCTCATGTGTCAGGAAAAGGAATGCATAGGAATGCCCGATGAATCTCTCTTCTGAAACCTGGTGTACTTTCTTCGTATAGAAAGCCCTTCAATTCCTATTCTCTTGATGACTCAAGATCAATAACCTCCTTATTGCACTGACTTGGTCAAACATGCCCTGCTCTGGGATCAAAGTGCCTGGATTCAAAACCTACCTTCACCTCTTACCAGCCAGCTGTGCAAATGTGAGGCAGTGGATTACTTTTTCTGTGCCCATTTCCTCAACTTGGAAAGGGATTGTTGGGAGAAGTAAATGATCACAGTAGTACTTAGCACAGCACTAGATACTCCAAATGATAAGCGTTGGCCAGCAGCCATGGGTTAGCGGCCCCAGCCTTGGGAAAGCCTCACATTTGACCTACTAAAAGGAAGGTTCCTTCTGGCTAGAAATATTAGAACTTCAAGGAGTTAAATACTAGAACTTTTGGAAGTTATGTAACAATGAAAAGAACATTGAAAAGGGTGGTTTTCCAGAGAGAAATAGGCAGTTCTCCAAAGTCTTTTGAGTCAGGAATATTGGCAAATTCCTCTGTTGAAAGAAATTTTTAGAATTATCTCCTATTAAATGAAAAAGAGTTTACTTATGTAAAAGGCAAAAATCATTTTTAAAAGCCTTGATGGTGTGCGTTTACTCTGAGGTTATTTTTTGCTAACAAACATGCCATTCGTTCCACAATTTATTAAGCAACGACAATATGGCAAGCCTGGTGTCAGCACTGGAATGAGAGAGTGAAAAAGGCACAGGACCTGTTCCTAAGGCATTGAAAGAAGAAACGGGCAGAGAAGCAGTGCCCTGGAGAGGGTATTCTGATTCCTTCCCAACCCCCATCATTTCCAATGCCACTGCTCTTGCAATCTACGGCTCTGGCCGAGTCACAGGCACTGCAGTGCCTGATTTGATTTTCTTCTTGGGAGGATCGAAATTCAGCAGACACCCAACTATCCCAACCCCCCACAGCTCAGGAAACCCCACGTGATGCCCCCTCCGCCCCACTGCTATAGTTTCTCCCTGAGGAACCCCCTGGAACACCTTCCCATCCAGCTACTCAAGGCCAAGGTCCTCCCAGTTCCCGCTCTGGTGCTACCTGTTTTGACTGCCCTGGCTCTCCAGAACTATGGTTGACTATTTTAAATGTCACCCCTAAAATATTAGAGGGTCACACTGCCTCCTCCACTCATACTGTTCCATTGATTCTCTCTCTGGTGCACCCCAGGCTCTTCTGGTATAGGTAGCTTATAGTAATTTATGGCAATCACAGCTAACTTTAAAGGACAAAGGTTAGCTACTTGTAAACATATTTGTTTAAAATGAAACAGCCTGAAGACAGGTCCAAAAAGAGAGAGGCTAACATTGTTTTTAGCGAAGGTAAATGTTACTGGAGCTGACCTGGAATCTCTCATGGTGACTAATCAGATGGGGTGACAATCATTTCTCTTTTATTTTTCCAATTAATTCCTTTTAAAAAAGATTCACTTATTAATCTGAAAGAGCCTCAGAGAGAGGGAGGGACAGAGAGACCGTCCATCTGCTGATTCGCTCACCAAATGAACACAGTGGCTGATGCTGGATCAGGCTCAATCCAAGAACCTGGAATTCCATCCAGGTCTCCCACTTGGGTAGCAGGGACCAGCACCTGGGCCCTCCTTCTCTGCCTTCCCAGGCGCATTAGCAGGAAGCTGTGGAACAGCCAGGACTCGAATCTGGACTCAGACCAGCATTCCAATATAGGCTGCCAGCATTGTACGGGGAGGCTTAACCTGCTGCACCACAACACTGGCAAACAATCATTTCTTAGGGAAATCCGGTGCCTTTATGAGCACAAATAATAGTATCAAGCCAATTACTTTATAGTCCCACCTTGCATATTAGATGAATGTCTACTTTTAAGAGTTGTAATTTAAAGTCATAAAACCTTCACTTTGGGGCATTCTTAAAATCTAGCATTTTTTTTTTCAGCTAATTAAATGGTATTCGTATGTAGGAGGTATGATTGATCTATCCTGAGAACACTTAGGAATTCCTAATAGCCAGATATAAAAATAAAATAACCATGGACATTCTTTTCTACCAATATTATGATTCAAAGTTATTCAAAATAATTTTGAAGTATGACACAATTATGAAGGAAAGAGAAGTTTCTGTCATGGGAAATGTAAATCAGAAATATGTTCCTTCTTTTTTTTAAGATTTTATTTATTTTGAGAGGTAGAGTTATAGACAGTGAGAGGGAGAGACAGAGAGAAAGGTCTTCCTTCCGTTGGTTCACTCCCCAAATGGCTACAACAGCCGGAGCTGCACCAATCCGAAACCAGGAGCCAGGAGCTTCTTTTGGGTCTCCCACTCGGGTGTAGTCCTTGGGCCATCTTCTACTGCTTTCTCAGGCCACAGCAGAGAGCTGGATTGGAAGTGGAGCAGTCAGGACTAGAACTGGTGCCCATATGGGATGCTGGCACCACAGGCGAAGGATTAATCTACTGTGCCACAGTGCAGGCCCCCAGTAATGTGTTTTGAAAGTGGCTTATTTTAACAGGAAGATTTGTATGCAGGGATCTGAATTTATTTTTTCATTGGTTTGTTACAAGCATTCAAAATTCCAAAATTACAAATCAGCACAACAAAACAAAGAGTTTTTCCAGAAGACAAAGTTATTGATTGGTGGGATGGGTACAGTTTTTTTTTTTTTTTAAGATTTATTTTATGTTTTGAAAGAGTTACAGACAGGTAGAGACACAGAGAGAGGTCTGCTCTCTGCTGGTTCATTCCCCAGATGGCTGCAACTTATCTAAAGCCAGGAGCCAGGAGCTTCTTCCTACATGGTGCAGGGGCCCAAGGACTTAGGCCATCTTCTACTGCTTTCCCAGGCCATAGCAGAGAGCTGGATCAGAAGTGGAGCAGCCAGGATACGAACCGGTACCCATATGGGATGCCAGCACTGCAGAAAGTGGCTTTACCCACTATGCCACAGCACCTGCCCACACAGGAAATTTTGATAAACAAGATAAGCAAAGAGATTACCCATAGTTCCTACCATCTGTCCATACCATGAGCATGTGTGTATGTCTTGACATTATTTTCTATAGATGTGCACTGTAGGTGTATCAGGTTTGGGAAACAAAAATATTCATTTTATAAGAACGTTTACCTCATATATGATAGACATGTTTTTATGTATGCCATTAAGTAGTTTCTTCTACATGGTGTTTAGGGCTGTATGATATTCACTGCAAGCATAAATCATAATCTTGTTCACCAAATTTCTGTTACTGAGCATATAGGTGGCTTCTCACCTTTTTAAAAATTCTCATATACAGACATTTGTCTATTTCAAGAATTTTTTTTTTCATTTTTGTGCTGTATTTCCTTTGGGCAGTTTAAGTCCATGATCCCTTCTCAGAATACATTTTTTCATAAAACCTACAGGGCAAAAGGAAACAAGTAACAGAAAATGTTATCAAAATATTTAATTTTTTAATTTGTGATGTGTGCTTATTATAAATATTTGATCCGGAACTACTATAATTTTAACCAGGGATAAGCATAACTGAATTTGAGATGCCTGAAACAATTAGAATGCAATAAAAAAAACCTGTAGTTTCTATGTTCTACTTATTTCACTGATTTGCTACTCACATTCATAATAGAAGGAAATGCTAAATTTCAGTTGGATGCTGATGAACATAAAGATAGCAGTTGGTTTCTGTCCACATTTTGGATTGCTTTAGTTTTATCCATGTACACTAACAGCCATATATGATAGATTAATACTCTGTGGACATCAGATTAACTTGGGAGCATTTGAAAATAGTCATATGGGAAAAGTTACCGTGCTTCCCAGAGACCAGCAACGTGGAATGAAAATAGCAGAATGGCCCTAAGCTTGGTGAAGCCAGTGGAGGTTGAGGAAATGCGATGTGGAACACAAAGAGCCCAGCCCAATGAGTAACGGCGGAGGGAATCGGGGAGGAGCCGTGGGCAGCTAATTATGAGTAGCGATGCAAAGGAATGGAAGAGCAGAGAAATACCCTGCTATTTCAGGCTTCTAATGAAAAGACATTGTGTTAGTGAAGAGAGGAGAATGGTCTTTTCTCTGAACTTAGTGAAACCCAAACGTCCTTGCCTTAACAACCAACCACGACCAAATGTTCCCTTCCTCCAGGTTCCCAAGCGAGGGGAGCTCCACTCTCCCAGGCCAGCCTGACTGTAGCAGACTGGCCTCTGCCTTCGCAGTGCCCACCAACCTTTCTGTGTTCTTTAGGGTGCTGTCCTGAGGCTGGGCAGGATGGCAAGGTCTTCTGGCATCTTCCATTTGGTCTTCTGCAAAGCCATCCCACAGCTGCCTCTGCTGCATGAGCCACCAGTTTTTTTTTTTTTTTTACAGGCAGAGTGGACAGTGAGAGAGAGAGAGAGACAGAGAGAAAGGTCTTCCTTTTGCCGTTGGTTCACTTTCTAATGGCCGCCGCGGCCAGCGCGCTGCAGCTGGTGCTCCGCGCTGATCCGAAGGCAGGAGCCAGGTGCTTCTCCTGGTCTCTCATGGGGTGCAGGGCCCAAGCACTTGGGCCATCCTCCACTGCACTCCCTGGCCACAGCAGAGAGCTGGCCTGGAAGAGGGGCAACCGGGACAGAATCCGGCGCCCTGACCGGGACTAGAACCCAGTGTGCCAGTGCTGCAAGGCGGAGGATTAGCCTAGTGAGCCGCGGCGCCGGCTGCCAATGACTTTTATGAGGTTGCAGCCCAGATGTACAAAGATACTCTCCCTGTTTCTGTGACTCGGTGACCTGTATGCTGGGGGATTAGGAGGGACAGAGGTCTCCTCTTTCCCCATAGGCACTGCATCCAAGAAGAAAGGCTGGTTCACCTCGTAATTCTGCATAGTAGGGACCAGGCGGCAAGTTCCCATAAGACCTCACTGACCACAGGAGGAGGCAGGAGTGATATCTGGAATTGCCATATAGGATAATTTACATCCAAGACTAAGCTAGACCAGACCTATCTCTGCACTTCTTGAGAGATCTCTTGCTCTTCAGCTCAGTCTGGGAGAGTTTAAATCCTCCCAAGAGTCCCCCAGAGAAAAAGAGTTTTACCACCACCTGGAGTCTCTACATTCGCTGTTCAGACCGCTCCTGAGATGGAAGGTGGGAATACAATATGGGGAAGATGCCAGCTCCACCCACAGAGACTGGCCTGTGATCTTCAGGCCATATGTAATTTGTATCAGAATTTATTAGCCCGGCCTCTATGCGTTATCAATTATTTAGCCTTAAATAGTGTTGTGAGCAAGTCTGCTTCTTTTTGCTGTTTCTCCTCCAGCATGCAGTCAATTTCCTATCTGTATGCATTTTATAGTCTTTAAATTCAAGCCTTCTGCAAATCACTG